AGTTCAAATGGCAAATGGCAGGCGAATTGTTAGCCGTAAAGTTACTAGAAAAAAAATCTTCGCAAATCTAGGAAATATTTTCCATAAACAACGAAGTGGTAATACTTTATCAGTGAGAATAGGTGAAAGTCTTAAGTCTTTCGAAAAAAGAATATTTCAGAGCCGTTTAAACAGTTGTTTATGAGTGTAATTATTGAACATTCTTTGCATATTGGATCTTCAATTTGGTTGCTAAAATATTAGCCCATCACCAAATGAATATATTCTAAATAAAAATGTTTGCAATAATTAAAGTCGTATATTAACGGAAATATGGATTAAGCATTTGATAGTAAGAAAATGTTGTATTAAAAGCAACAAAGAAAACAATTAATCAACAATATATTTTATTTATATGAACTCAATGACAGTCGAAATTAAATTTTATTAAATTACTTTAAAGGCAAATTTCCTTAAAAAGTTAAAGAGTAATAATGGAGAAAAGAAAGTTTGTAGGTGTTTTAAAGCCGCTAAAGTTTTTGTAGTAGTTCTTATCTCTTTTGATAATTATTTCTTTTCGTTACCTTATAAATTCTACTTCACTTAAAAAATAAAAATGGTGTTCCAAAATCTGCTCTCAGTGGAAATACTCAATATGACATGAACAAGCAAAACTAATATAAAATACAATGCATGAAAAGAAAAAATCACACAATGCCTGTAATAAAATTTGTAAATATAATTACAGATATACCGTCCAGCTGCTGTTCCTCATCCTGGAATCACAACTCCATTCCCAAGACTCAACCTAAAGACCCGCCGACACTTTCATTGTCGTCTTATTGAGACAAATAAATTTCGGCTGGTGCCACATGGCGATGCCAACTGCAGTCATCGCAGATTTTCCCTGGATATTTTTAATTTTGCGGCGAAAACAAAAAACAAAACTTTGCACATAATCGTTATCGTCAGCGCCGAGAGGGAAAGCCCCCCGGAAAAACCCCTCGACTTGACCATAATTTGCGGCCAAAACAAAGGCTGTGTCTTGGAAATTAGCATTTTTATGCTTCCGCCAGGGTTACACACAACTTTAACTCCATACTCAACTCCAAACTCAACTTCTCCTCACACAGATGATATAGTCGGAAAGTTTTTATCCACAACAATGGAAACTTGAACTCATAGTTGGCATAACGTCGTCCAATGAAGTAAGGACATGAAAGCGAGGGTGAGGCAACCAAGGAAACGGTAAGTAAGTTTTAATTACTCTTTGACAAATATTTAAGTTTGGGTGCTGCAAATGGAGCGAAGGGACGGGACTTTGTCTTACGCACAATTAAACAGATTTTTGCCGCTTGTAAGGCAAATGAAATCACAGAGGGACAAAAGACTTCGACGTCTGGGTTCAGGATTCGGCATTCAGATCCGGTGGGGTTGTAACAACATAATTTTGCGCCGTATAATGTCATAAATGTCTGTTAGCAAAACAACAGACGACGGAGAACGGAGAACGGAGACGCAGACTGTCAAACATTATTACATTATTTGCCTTTTGCTTTTGGGTCCGTCAAAAGGTTGAAATTGAAACCAACCCCGTGGCTTTCTCGCTCCTGGCTTCTATTTGCCAGTCTCTGGGATTTCTGGTTCTGGTTCTTAGATTACCAACTCTCATTGCCAGATCAACCCTGACATGGGAGATTAATTGCGCCAGTCTTTTCCTTCATTGAGTTTCTGGCCAGGGCAACCAGCAAACCAGCAAACCAGCAAGCCAGCGTACCAGCGGCAACTTCATCATCGAGTGCCCCCTGACAGCAATTATTAAATTTTCATTACATCCCCTAATCAGCATTTTGTGCATATTGATTGTGTAAACAGGCGTCGCTTAGTCGCCCGAGACTCGTTCACATTTTTATTTCGTATTCGGATCGGGGAAATTGATTCAAGAGCTGAGATGTCGATAAGGGCTAGTGATGTGATTTGCCTGGTTGGCAAAAAGGTTTAGGCAGGTGTTGAAGTGGTCGACTTAAGGGGGAATGACTTCTTAATGGGTTTAACTCATTGAAATAATTATAAAATTGATTAACGGGCTGTTTTAAAATATTGTTTTATTCAAAAAAAATCTGAAAGAAAGTCGATTCCAAATTTACGAATTCGATTAAATAAATTGAATCCTAAACTGGATTAATATATGAAATATATATTATATTTATATATATTTGTATTTATATTTATAAATTTAAAAACGTTTATGTGCAGAATAAATATTTTGTAAGCAAAAATTATTTTAGACAACAGTAATAACTAAGTTTTTCTATGCTTTAAAAATATTTCATGTGTTAATACAATTTATATTTTTTCTTTTATTTCTTAGATTTAAATAAAATCAGAAGGAACATTTGTTTATGGGTTGAACTCCAAAAAAATTAATTGTTAAACTCCCTAAAAAAATCCACAAATTAATTACAAAACTTCCATATAAAATTTAATCTTCTCTTATGAAACTGCTTATATGTCCCGAATATGTCAGTGGAACACGACATTCCTTGCATAATTTTAAGCCCACCAATCATTGCCTAAGCCAACTTCAACCACAATTGCAATCTACAAACTTCTCAAACCCTTGCAAATCACTTTGAATGTCTTGTGCAACTTTGAGCGCTGATTTGACTTTTGCGATTCGTGCTGACATTTCAAATCAATAAAGTCGCACTTTGCTCTGCCACTGGCACCTGCTCGCAATTACGGGGAATTCGGAGGGGCAGCTAATGGGGAGACACACACGCATATTACCATCCAGTTTAATGGCAAACAACAAACAGCAAACGATGTCTTTCTCAAATAAGCCGATTAATTGTAATCAAGCAGCGCGTCTAAATGGACACCGACTGAGTGTGTTCAGCTGGGAACTGGATGGTCTTTCTGGCTGGGATCCCCTGTCTATCGATTTCTGTCGTCTGGCCGCTTGGGTCAATGCATGTGCCCAGCTAGGAAATAAATAAATACAACAAAAAAAGCAAAGCAAAATAAGTGAAACACTTTCTACCCCAGCAAGTGCTCCATGTGGAGTCTTCCCCCACCGATGTTTTGTGTAATAAAAAGAATGGCCAATTGCGAAAAAGGCTTCAAACTTACACAAGCAGAAAAATGGTACAGATCTGGTCACAAACAATATACAATATCTATAATCAAGTTATTTCAAAACAGACTTAATTGTGTATATGATAAATTGTATTAGCAATAAATAACCAATTTTAAGATCTTGTTTTTAATTATCCAAATTTGTTTTTGCAAACCGGATCCAAGAATATATGAAATCCCATTTGAGTAAAACAGAAATTTATAATTAAAGAAAGGCATTATATATTGGTAAAAATTTGTCTTGCATTTTTTTTCCAAATAAATTACTTTATTCCTATTATATTTATATTTTTCGTAATGGAAATCCTGGTGGCTTTTTAAAATATTCATAAACATAACCCTGACTCATGAACAACTTTGCAGTGCACAATCTCATCCCTCCCTTGTGGAGGATATTATGGGGTTTTCCCCTTTTGTTGGGTGGTTTTGTAATGACAAATAATAACTGGTGGCCCTGTGAGCCCCAGCCCCCTGCAACCGTTTTCCTGTCAGTGGGCAAATTAATGGTGAAGTGTAAGTAAAATTTACGCTCTGCCACCGCAACTGCCCCATCTCCTGTTGTTCGCATCTGCTAATAATCATAAAAAAGGCGGCTAGCAGCATTTTGACAACCGACAACCCCCCACAAATGCAGCACCCCCATTCAGAAGGTTTTGGCTGACAGCCGCAGAATAAAGCAAAGGCAGCCGAAGAGCACCAGCCGCAAAACAAAACAAATATAAATAATTTTATTTTATTGTTTAAGCCCAGCTTGGGCCGCTCACCATTGTGTCCGAGTGGGATTTGTATTTATGTTGCATTGCAACTGATTAGCAGCTCGGAAAGATCGCGAAGCTAAGGCAAAACTGAAAGGGTTTGTCTGCCGACTGTTGCACTTTTTGCGGAATTTCATATTAATTTTACTTGGCAAGTTCTGGGAAGATCAGGAAATAAATAATACAAATCTTTCCAAAATAATCAGTTCTAATCGGATGTGAAATTAACTTTAGATAGTAACTGTTGCGAACAACAGAAGGCAAGAAGCGTATGTTTTTAAAAAAGGATCCAATAATTTCCATTGCGTTTTCCAAATATATTATAAATTCGGTTAAAGAAGTAGTTTTTAAAAGTTAGTTTTACATTTATAAATATATAAAAGCATTTATCAATTGAAATCGAGCTTAAAATTGTTGCTTTGCAATGTTTCAAGATTATTTTTGGTAAACCGTTTAAAATATATTATGTTTTGATTTCCAGGATTAAACTTTAATTTTACTTTGAGTGTTTAAATACTTATTCAATTGTTTAAGTTTATGTTTTTACATTACTTTTGTTTCAGAAAACATATTTTTTTTTCTCTTTTAAAAAAATTTGTTCATAGTTTTCAATAGTTTTTTGCGAAAGATTTTTAATAACAAAACACTCACGCTTTTGAAAAAGACAATGTAAGCAAAATTACTTTTTGACCTTGTGTTAATCTAATTATATTTTAATTAAAGAACCCTTCAGCGTTTTTTATTGTTCAAGGCAGAGCCCTTCAATTTACCTAATTACCAACGTCTGACTTGCTCTAACCATAAATTCTCGATTTTTATGTAATCAAAGTTCACACAGGGTGGTGCCGCTCATTCAGGAAATCAGAATCAGAATCTCGAACGAATCAGAGTTCACTTGATGGGTTAGACTTGAACATGTTTGTAGGCATGTTTTAATAATTGCGGACACAGATAATAATTGTAAACGTTGATTGTCCAACTGGAGTTGGGTCCAGAAAAAGCACATAAAATGCCACGACTGCAGAAATGTTCGTAGGACAAAACAATTTGATGGCAGAGTGAAAGATCTCCATCAATTGATAAGATTACAGTTCAATTGAGATGGTGAATAGCTATAGATTGACTCACTTGTAAAGGCCTTGCTGCATATCCATGTTATTAGTGTTGGAGCCGATTCCCAGGCCCATTCCTCCGGCAGCTCCACCACCTCCTCCTCCGTTTAGCATTGTTCCGCCGTATCCCAGATTTCCAGGTAGTCCTTGGCTACCGGGCACTATGATTCCCAGCTTTGCCAGTCCTGCCAGAGCATGTCCATGTGGATGGGAGCCGATATTTGCGCCATGGCCGTGAGGCGAAGGCAATCCCATTCCGTTGCCAGGAACTCCGAATCCAACTCCCGAATGCCAAGGGCTTCCAACCGAACCCACTCCGCCGCCAACAACCGAGGGCACACTTGATGTACTACTGCCCAATTGATTGATCATGGATCCGCCGACCGGAGAATTATTCACCACCTGACCAGCATTGCTCCCCATCAAAGTGTTCAGAAGAGTGCTGTTCAAATTCCCATTGTTCAGATTGTGATTGCTCTGGTGTTGCAGCTGATGCTGTTGATGTTGCTGGTGGTGTGTTGCAGGATTGCTGCTGTCGAGATCGCCATTCTGGCCAACCATTAACAGCTGATCCTCGTTTCGCACCTGGCCAAAACTCAGGTGGGTGAGGATCATTAGCACTAATACTCCCGTTGACGATGGCATTTTAATTGATTGATTGCGGTTTAAATATTATAATTTATGTGGCTGTTGGTGAATTGTTGATTTTGCTAAATGCGTTTTCTATAGTCTACTTTTTGGCGTGATATATTGTAGATGTTTTGTGGTAAGTACTTTAGTTAATAAATTACTATATGCTAAGGTTCTACTTCATTAAATATTTATTACGTCAGCGTTATAATTAAATTTACGTTTTGTATGCTTGTCAAAATGATTTCGATTAATATAAAACTGTTATGTGGCCGTATAAAAATTGTTTAATATTCTATTCGATGCGATTTTGCGATTTTGAGATTATGTATTTTGATAGTTGCATGAATTTTTGTGTAACTTATTTTGGACTGCTTAATACTTTTCGTTTGATTTCCACTTTTTTGTTTCAGGCGTTTTACATTTTTGTTTTCTTGCTTGCTAGTGGACTGGATAAACTTATAATTTTTCACATTGGCACTTCAAACGTTTTTCATTTGTTATTTCAACGGCAGAAGATGATTTATTTGCTTTAGAGCTATGTGCATTTTTCCTTGTGGTATTTTCCTTTGGGTTTCCTTGGAAATCGGAATCTCTCCGATCGAAGAGCGCTAGATCAAAAGACGCAGCAATCCGTTTCGATGCCAGGCGCTATTTTCCCCCCACCGACGATCGAGCGTATCGAAAACGCAGCTAAACCCGTTTGGAAGTTGCTGCTGTAGCTGTTGCCGTTGCCGTGTTGCTGCTGCAGTTGCAATGTCTGTTGCTGACCGCCAGCGACGCCGTCGCCAGTGTTTCTTTATACCGCCGATCCATCCATCTGGGCAGCCTAAGTTTGAGGGATTTCCGCTGCTGCACATGAAAAGGCGCCGCCACGCATTTAAGGAATTTTCTTTGGGCCGGCCGGCCGGCCACTTGTCATACGCACAGAACTTACAGATCACAGAAGTTATCACACACTAACTATAGCTATATAGATATTCCGTTTTCCGGATGCGAACAGTTTCTCACACTTTCCCAACACTATTTTATTTTTGTGGGAGTTTTCGCTTTTAACGGGAGTTAGTTTGTTTAAATCTGATTTGGTTTTTGGATTTGAGTTTCAGTTTAAGTTTTAAACCACCGCGCCACACGTGCGTCCATCAGCTCGTTCGGCACTCGACTGAATCATCGACAGCCGAGCGTCGTGTGTTGCCGTTGCCGATGGTGTTGCTGCTTGCGCTGCTGCTGTTGCTGTTGGTGTTGCTGCTGTGCCGTTGCCGTTGCTGTTGCTGTTGCTGTTGTTGCTGTGCTGCCCTGCTGCTGGCTGCCTTTTTGGTGGACGTTCTGATAGGCAAACGCGGTCGTGGTTGGCGCATGATGAGGACACCAAATGCGTGCGCAGCCAGTGATAAACTTGCAACATGTTGCATGTTCGACGTGTCGCCAATTGATCGCCGTCACAATATATGGACAACACTTCATTAATTATGGCGACAACTTGTCAGCCGTAATTGCTCCGTGGCTAATTGGCGGGCAAGTGTCTCTCCGGGCTAGTCACTTGTCCCAGCTACCGCGCACTCGCCGGGCACTCAGTTTATCTTTCTTCCCTCAGATAAACCGAGGTTTGGTTTGCCGAGGTTTTTCCGTGTTTGCTTGCACAGTCCATCCATCAGACGGTCTTTCAATCTCTTAGACACTTTTCTCCTCGGGCTTATCCATCCGGGTACAGAGAGAAAAAAAGGGGTCTGCACAAATAGATTCTAAAGAAAGTTATTTTTAAACTATATGGTTTTGTTAATTAATTTTAATTAAAAGATTCAAAGAGTTAAGAAATGTAAAAGTTCATATATTTTATCATATTTTTGTTTTTTAAATTTGACTATATATTGATTTGAATATGAACAATAATTTGAAAGAATTTATGTTGAATTTAAATATATCTCTTATCTTATCTTAATCTTATATTAATGACGTTTTAAAAATTTTTAATCACTAATTAAATCCAAGCATCATGTAGTTTTAGTATGAAAATTTTCCAGAATTTTTTTAAACGCATAATGCAATTATTGTTTCCTTGGCCTGATAGGTTTAAAATTCATACTTAATCAACCTCCAAGAAGTTGATTACTTTCTCAAACAGCTGCATTGACAACAATATTATAAAAAGGGTCAATTGAGTAGGCAATTTTAAGCAACTGGAAAATATTATCATAAACATTTAATGAGGGTCATCATATCATATTGTATGTTGATTCTGCTAAAGGCATGTGTTATTAGAAATAAGATGGTTTTCTCTCCGTGTAGGCATCTCACCTTTCCACTTGTCTTCAACTTTAGCTGTTTGTTATTTACCTTTTTTCTCTCACTCTCTTAGACTCTACACACATTCCCAAAAGGGCAAGGCACTCGGCAAAAATTTTTTAGCTACAACTTTTGACCCAAAACCCTTAGATACCGCACAAACACAAACTCTGAATACCTGTCCAGCACCCAATATTTGCACAAGTTAATTACAAAAGCAACAAAACGAAGGAAAAATCATCGTTTGGTTTGTCTATTTGTCCAAACATTTGTCAATTTCATTGAGCTCTGACCAGGCATATTTCCTGCACCGATCGAAGGGGCGGCGAACCCACTTTGATCGTTCATCGCCGTCGTCTTTTTTGGTTCAATTAAGATTCATTTTAACGCTCCAAGAAAACGCGAAGAGAGAGGCCAGTAAATACTACATACTGTATGGCATGATTGTTCGTTCTCGGCGTTTATCTAATTTACTTTTACTTACACTTACACTCCCAACTACAAGCGCCCCCCCTCACAAGTCCCCAAAAAAGATAAGTGTCTGTCCGATGGGAATCGGAATCGGAATGGGAATGGGAATGGGAATGAGATCGGGTATGAGAATGGGACAAAAATAAAGTCGAGACCTCAGAATCGAGAAACGGAGCTGACCAGTTTTATTGGCTTGACAATGGGCCCGTGTCTTTGGGAGAGAAGGTGAGGGAATTGCTGTTCAAGTGCCTTTTCATTGCGGCACTTTGAGATCCCAGTAGAAGAGGAGGAGAAAAACAGTCTAATCTCTGCCCCGGGCCTCCATTCTAATGGTTTCTAATGAACTACTTAAGCCGCTGATATGGAAGTGATTGACGATGATTCGGCGGAGGCATGATCTGTTAATCTCATCGCTGAAGTGCTGTCAATACACGAATCGATAGCAAGCAGGCTTAAAAAATATTAGCTATGCCTTGTAGTTCATCTACTTCAGTTGGAGGTTTACACAACTGTCTAAAGATAATTTTGTTTTTCTATCGTGGAATACGGAAAATGTGTAAAAGTATTAGTTTTTCTTTTTGTGCAATGTTTCTGATTTTTGTAGTTATATGTGTAAAACAGTATGCGTGCATAAACGCTCGAGGGGCTTAACTCACTTAAAAAAGTGCCTTAACGCCCATGGTAGTATTTAATTCTATTATACATTTTTCAGTCTTGGCAAAGCACATAATTTTTCACTTGATTCGAAAGTAATTAAGACCAAAATATATTACCCCCTTTTTAGCAAGGAAAGGTTCAGTGACTCTAGGCCATTGGGAATGTTTAATGTAGCGTAAAATTGCAATGTCAAAACATTTTGTGCAAATCAAACGCCCTGCCCTATCCGAACAAAAAACTCCCCAGTTTCAGCTCCATCTAATGTGAATATGGCATGACTGAGGTCCGTTTAAACGTTAGGCTAATTGTCGCCAAAAAAAAAAAACCTTTTGAAGTGCCAAATTTACTTTAAGCTGTTGTAAACCATTTCCTGTGTTTCTTTTTTAACTGGAAAAAGAAAATTCCATTTCTCTGAAAGTTGTTTATGAAAAACAAATTTTAACGGGTGGGAGAAAGCATAATACACACGTAAATCAAACACTTGCCAAGCTTTTGGGCAGAAGTCTAAACATTTTTACAGACACCTGCCACAAAATGACGTCTTGTTTTTCGTTGTTGGCCCGAATCGCTCAATCATCTCAAGTGGTCAGCGATCTTTTCATCGAGGTGCTCTCCAAAAACTTCCTAATTGGCCAGCGGGCGCCACCCGATGCAGTTATTATGATTATGACTAGCAGCACTTCAAAGGGCCATCGACTTCAAAGAACGCGCCAGGTAAAAACGACACTATGTGCCACACAAGTTGGGAGGAAAAAAACAGGAAAATCGGGGCCGCTTCCTTCATTCTGCGGCTGCACGCGACATTAATTTCAGTTCCTGCCTTCGGAGACTGCAACTAACAGCTTCAGTCCTCCACTAAAATTCATTTCATAGCCAATTGCTGCGTCGTAAAATATACTTTTACTTCCAATGGGCCTCTGTTTTCGGCACGGTTTTATTTCTTTATGGCTCCTCAATTGAAGGAAGCGAAGTACCGCCCGGCAATTCTTTAACTCGCTGCAATTAGTGCGTCATTATTATTTGCAATTCAAAACTATGTGGGAATCATCAAAAGACGAAGACGAGCTCCCCGCATTCAGATATATGCGATTATAATGGACCCGCATGCCAGTTCGCCTGTCAAATTTATGACAAGTTATGAGCGGCAGCAGCATAAACAAAAGCGAAAAGAAATCATACAATAAACCCATCATCATTAAAATTGAAAGCGATCTAGCAGGGGCCAGACGGAAATCGAAACTAAAACTTTTTCATTGCCTCGAGCTTGGTCGGCTGCTAAACATGCGATAAGTTGGTGTAACCTCTTTAAGCGGCTTAAAGGATAAGTCCAGGATTTATAGAAAAAAATCGAAGTACAATGCGGTGCACTGAGAAAAGTTGCTTCTAGTATTAGGTAGACTCAGGAATTATGTATTGCATTTCCTTAAATTAAATATTTAAGTAACTATGAAGCTATGATAAGTATGTGTTGTTTTTGTGTGATATTGAATAGCTAAAAATGTCAAAATTATGTAATTAAATTTCTAATCATCGAGCATCTTATAAAACCCTTTTATTATCAAAATGTTAGAATGTTTTTTATTCTATAATAATACATTCTAAGAGCTGTTTTAAAAACTGTATGATGGCTCGTTCTATTAAATTATTTATGAGTTGGGCAGGCTTACTTTGAAATTATTTTGGGTACGGGAGACGGCTAAAATATTAAAGCTTTTTCGAGTATTTTTCAAGTGTATGTATGAAACAAGAAAATTGTTTCTTAAAGCTTTCAACGCAGTAGAAGCCTCAGCCTCAGCCCTTCGGGTCAACTTGTTTATGCGACAAATATCCATAAATAGTTTTACGCTCTTACGGGTTCGAGTACTCGAGAGGCGAAAGGACTCGGCCCCAGGATACACGATAGGCAGGGCCTGCTTCCACTTAAGGTAACCAACTAGAGAAGGGCCAAGGGCTAGACACATTTGGACCGACAAAAAAAAAAGTGAAGAAGGCGGGGGAAAAATATCGCAAGCTATTGAAAAGGTGGCCGGGAACAAAGGCAAAGGAGCAGCTACCAAAACGAAGACGCCGTCATCACCATCCTCATCGTCTGAAGTAAGTAGCAATTTAATCAGCTCGAAAAGGGGAGCATGGCGATGATGTTGTCAAATGGTTACTTTTATCCCAAACTCCGCTTCCCAAGCCCCCCAATGTGTGTTTAATGTGGCGCAAGGAAATCCAGAAATGGAGCCGAGGAAATATATACTTTGGCTACTTTGCAGCTGCCTCCTACACAAGCGGAATTCGTAATATTGTTTAAATGCCATTCAGCTTTCGTTGTGATTCAATTAAAGCGCATTTTGCGTTATTTTGCTTACAGTTAATTAGCACAAGTCAAGAGCCTGCGGGCCCTGAAAAAAAGGGGTCGATGGCAACGGTGGGCCATAGTGAGTGAATGGCTACGGATACAAAAAAATGCAATCCAATCCACCTGCCCACCTGCCAAACGGAACCCAGCCACATGTTGCCCCAAACCAAACGAGGGAGCTGAAGAAGTGGCGCGTGCTGGTTTCCGATTTGGGTTGTGAATACGAGGCGAGGGGTTATTTCTATAGACGGCCCACAATCAATTATCAAGTGCAAGCCAATGCAATGGCTGATCCAGATGGATAGAAAACTTTAAAGGGTGCATATCGCTGTGCAATTAGATCTATATATCTCGAATACCTTAATTTTAATAAGACAAACTTTAACGTAAACGAAGCATTTAAAATGGAAA